ATAATATAATTATTATAATTAGAAATTAAATAAATTACGAGAAATATATGAATTAAATTATTAGAGATTGCAGGCAATTTTTTGAACATTTTTCAATTGTTCGTTTAAACTTAAGAATATTTTAAATTGTTAGATACAAATTGAATATTAAAACAAATTCGAAATATTAAAATTAATGTTAGATGAAAATTAAAAGAGGACGATTTCTGCCAAAATTAATACATAAAGATTTTTCTTCTACACACACACACACACACACACCTTACTTTACGCGTGCGCGTTATTAAAAAGAATTAAAATAGACAATTACAATATTTTATTGCAATCGAATAAATCAATAATTTATTAATAATTTATTCTGGCCAAAATAGATAACTTATTGTAATTTTTTACGGTGTAATAACACACTTGATAATAAAAATTTATTAATCTTGATACTTATCAAGTTTAATGTTTACAATAAATCTCTTGTGAAAGCTTAAAATTTTTAAAATATATTTAATTTTTGACAGAAATTAAATTTTGTTTAGTACATCACACGTACAATAATTACAGCATAAATTATGACAATAGTCTTTTTCATAGTTTTAATCTCAATTTTCTCAACATTATAAAAAATTTCTAAGCCAGAATTGTCTTAAACACTAAAGAAGTATTAAATTTTTTTAACTATTTTTTTTTTTTGTTAAATTGGTTATTTTTGACGCTAATTTTACAAAATAGTGGATCCAATACTTGATGATGAATTGAGCTTGATGTTAACAATCATTTCTTATAAACTAAAAATTTTTCAAATATATTTAATTATGAACAAAAAATAGATTTTTTCTAGTACATCACATATACAGTAACTGGCATAGCAAATTACTATAATTAAAATTATAATTTAAAATACTCCTTTTTACAGTGTTAACTTCAATTTTTTCAAAATTATAAGGACTTTCTAAGGTCAAAATTAAACATTAAAGAATTATTATATTTTTTAATAACAATGCCAATAAATTTAGATAAATTTTTATGAAATATTACAACAAAATAAAATTACAGTATGATGACAAAATCCGCGTTCAGAGCAGAAATTTCTAATAATGTCTAATATTATTAAGAGCGACGTTTGATTTTTGCACTTAAGATATAGCGCGATAATAATACTACAATTATCATATATTTTTACAAGTTACAATAATATATAATTACAGTATAACAGTTATGCTTTATGCACCACGACCCATTGATGTAATTATGGTCTAACATTAAAAAAAATGTCTAGTTAAAATCAATTTACGAATTAACATTTAGATGCCATAAAAGATCTTACTTAAGTCATCAAGTTTTAATTTATCAAGCAAAAACGATCGAATAATCTCATGCCCGTTTATTCGCGAACGCACAGATAAGCAATAATTATCGACTAGTAGCAAATCGGCTAAACATTAAAGTGTCAAATTTACATCTCTCCATTTCTGAATATAGTGAGTTAATTCTTTTTTTATTTTATTTTATTAATTTTGAAACTAAAATATAATACATGATATTTAATTTAACAATTTTCTTAAGACAAAGCGTTATACTTTAATCATCAAATATAATTGAAATTATTGTATTACTTGATATATACATAGGATATTTTATAACATTGGAATCCATTTCATTGACATATTTAAAACTTTAAAAAACAATAAAATTAAGCTTATATAAGCTTTTATCAAAATTACTTCGCTTTCAAGTTGCATTTGTTTTTACACATTCTCGACGGTATAATCAACCATTCTTTTTGTATGTCGTTGCAATCCTGTGCAACTTTGGTGCACGACAACTAATTGTTATACGCGAGACAAAGATTAATATACGTACATTGGATTTGAAACGCCTAATGAATTCAATATCTATAAATTTTCGTCGATGATATATGCATGCACGGTTTCGGTCGAGATCAAGAATTTGGCTAGAAATTATGTTGGCAAATTAAGAATTGAAATTAGACGACGTTTGGAAATCAAGTCTTCTCGAATAAAATCCTGATATGATTACAAAGCCATTCAGATTTATTTTGAAGAAGGACAAAAAGTATGATTATTTAATCCTCAAAGAGAGAGGGGGAAAGCCCCGGAATTACGAAGCATTTGGAAAAAACCGTATAAAATCGTAAGAAGATTAAGTGATGTTGTATTTTGTTCCGGCATTTTTATACAGGGATCACTTTAAATCCCTTATTTATTTCACATCAATTCATGACGTTGGAATGCTCCAACAATGAAATGAACGGTTACCAATTTCACAAACGCTTGGAATATTTATAGAATGAGAAATCTATAATAAGGTATTTGCCAGGCTTGTACTCTATCGTAAAAAAATCATTTTGAAAACTTCCTTTAAATAATTACTAAAACACAAAAATAACTATAACTTGAAAATAAAGTGATTTTTGATATATATAAATTTGTACATCTACCTTTTTTATTTTTATATTTTAAGTGCACTTTTGAAATGCATTCTATATGTTACAAAATACTCCATATATACCTATGTTTGTGTGTATGTGTGAAAATTGAAATTTAATGTACTACTTTAAATCATTAGTCTTATATTTATAAATGAGCATTTAAATTAATTTAAAATTCATTATTCTCGATTTAACTATATTGTGTACGCATGCACGCACTCACACACGCACAAATACATACATGTATACATGTGTGTGTGTGTGTGTATATATATATTCATGTATATATGTATGATATAAATTTGTTTATCAATTAATAATTATTTTTGGTTGTCAACATGTCCGATATTATTAATAAATTTTCTTTACTGTCGCAAACATCAAATTATAAAACGTTCTTTACTATTCATATCTCAATAGTAAATAATCAGTAGTAAATAATCAAATTAAATTGTTTTTGAAAAATAACGGATTTAATACAAAACTTGATGTAATATAAAGAAGATTCAATTTTATCGAAGAAACTACGAGACTTATATCAGAAAAAGATCCTCAAAGATACATCTTTTTGACTCGCAAGAAGTACATTAAGAGATATATACGAGATATATAGACCAACCAGGCTTTCCATCGTCTTCGAACTTCTCAAAGTTATATTCGTTCGGGTATTCTATACCAGGGTAACCACAGAAACGAAATGCCTCTTCTCGCAAAGTGCTCAGCAACGTTCAGTCGTTCAGTCGAAACCTCCTTCCTTCCTCCGCGGACATGATTTTATTGATCCTCGCGAAACACGACACACTTCTCATTGGCTACAAAAGCTTGCTTAAAAAAACTAACTTTGGCAATACGACATAATGTGTATGTTATGTATACATACGAGTTTCAAGGTTCATGCAATGTATGTCGCGCATAATTATCGTCGGCATGTAAGTAAAACGATGAATCTTTTTGGAAGATTTAGGCGGGATAGCTAGGTTCGTTTTACGTCAACTTATATATATATATATATAT